GTACAGAGCATTCAAAAGGCGGTATCATAGAAGAACAAAGTTACAATTTATAACTAATTATACCTAACCTACCTAAATAAAATTTGCCAGCTTTGACGTTCTACGTAATTTATATGTCACTTGAGAATTCCAATTGTTTTTGTAAACCCGTAAAGTTAACTGTGTGTGAAAGTGGCTAGATATAATATTTTCACCAAATAGAAAACGTATCAGATGCAGTTCTGTGATCATTTGAACAAAGGATTGTGTTCAGGCATATTTTAGAGGATGATCTCAGTAGCTAAATGGCTTGTCCGCAGCCAAATGGCTCGTACCTAACATTCAAGGTGTCGACATCACCGAGGTCCCGAGTTCGAGTCCAGTAGGCAATTTTGTTCTTGTTTACGCAATAACTACACTCAATAGAATCTCATCTACTTGCATTTTGCCACTGTACCTGAAGTCCAATATTGTTATATATCTGCAACTAATTATGTGTGAGGAAGGCATTACATTATTATTATTGAACTTAAGATCTGTGTGATATTGCCGAATATTAATTATTTATTTAACTCTAACATATACCAGTTTGCCTGCAAAATGTGTAACAAACATAATATTGTTTATAATTATTGAAATCTCGTTTCAAAAATAAAACTTAAATTATCTAATTTCTCCGTTGTCCGCTAATACTGCTACCACACCCTTTATCTACAAACCGCAGCACATCAGTGTACTACAAAAGTTTGAACTGCATTCAATTTTGAACTTAATTGTCAACAGAATAAGACAGAGAATTGATAAAAGAAATTGAAACTATTGTAATAAAGTGACGTGCTGTTGATTTTACCTCAAGAGTACAAGGCCTAAGCTATAACCCGATTTAATTACACAAAGCCACTTCTCCTCACCTTGATTCCCGGAGAGGATTTGACGTTTAAATCTCGACAGTTCCATTTTGATATTCAAAGATAACAAATGCAACATTTGAAATTGGAATGGAACGTGGATGAAATTGATATTCCACAGAATGTTATAGTAAAAATAAAAACAAAACTGATCTGAAATAATAGGCTGGGAAAAAGTTTCTTCGCCTTTTTCATGAAAATTTACAACATTTTTTAATATTTTACGTACATTTAACTTAAGTTTGTACGTATCATTCTGTTTGATAACTTTTTACTATTTTGTAGATGCTATAGAAATAAAAAAACAGCGATAAGTGGTTTTGGCAGACCTCGCGTGATGTTAACCTGCCTAAAGAATTCTGAAAAGACCTAAACAGGTGAAAATCTGAAGGTGCAAGATCAGGACTTTATGGCGGATGCATTAACACCTTCCAGCCAAACTCTCTCAATTTTAGCTGAGTGGCTAAATATGTGTGAGGTGTAGCGTTATAATGATGAAAAACCACGCCCATTCTATTGATTAATTCTGGCTCTTTCTCTTTACTTCTTGCTTTAATCTCATCAGTTTTTCGCAGTAGAGTTCAGAATCGATCGTCCTATGTGGCTATTCTGAATGAATAATGCCCTTCTAATCTCACCATACCTCCACAAAGAGCATCATCTTGGTGCTAGTTAACCCGGGTTTCGTCACGGTCTGTGAAGTCTTACCGACCACGACCTTTTTCGAACATTCTTGTCGTACGTGATCTACTTTTCATCACCAGTTATCATATAGCTTCTTCAAAAATGGTTCGGTTTCATTACGGCGTAATAAAGAATCACAAATGAGTACACGGTTCATTAGGTTTCTTTCAGTGAGCTCGTGAGATACCCAAATATATAACTTTTTTGTGTACCCAGATTTTTTCAAATGCACCAAAACTGTTTTGTGGTCAATCCCCAGTTTTTCAGATATGTAACTACTGATATGCCGATTTTGCTCCTCTTTTGCTAAAATATGATCCATTATATCCGTAACAGGGCGAACGGAGCGATGTGCACTTTGACATCAAAATTTCCAGACTGAAAACGCTTAAACCATATTTGTGCTACTCTTACAGAAACTGCACTAGGTCCATAAACGTCACAATTTGTTTTTAGCGGTTTACGTTGCAGTTTTACCTTTTTTGTAATACTATTTTAAAATGTATACAATTTCTTCATTAGTAAGAAAAACACATGAAAATCACACATTTTTCTACTTTGAATTCGGAGTTATCTTATTCAAAATTTAAACTTTTTAATGATTCTGAAACCAGCCAGATACAAATGGTACAGCCAGAAAGATTTTATTACAATTTTATTCGTACTATATTCGAAAAAACTTTTTCCCCAATCTAATATAACATTGCGACATTTGAAATTGGAATAGAATTCGGATTTATTTGAAAATTCGGACAATGTTACAATGATAAAAATGTTACGGTAGACACTTATCATAAAAATGTTTGAAGAGTATTTAGTTTGTTTGTTAAAAATTGTTTTCTTCTTTTTGTTAGACCAAAGATCTTGTATAAACAAATGTACCAAGCCCAAACTCATTGAATTTGTTTCTTTAAATTATATAGAATAGATCCAACCTTCCGACTCTATCATCAGATCAGCTCCATAGTCATCTAAGTTACCTACATTTTACAGATGCAAAATTTCAACGCAATCAAAATGCGGAAAGTGGGTTAAATTTAGGTTACAAGTTACCTATATTAACTAACACAGCAAGTTAAATGAGTGGTAAAGCATAATAAATATTAGTTATTCTCCTAAATAAATTGTTACAAACTGGTCATCAAACTGGGCTGTGTAAGGTTTAATATAGTTTATGTTTTGTGTCGAGTTGCTTTTGTTGGCTCTTTTTTCTGTTCTGTCGCCCTGGCAGCCTCGTGATATCGTTGTTGTAAGTTTTTATTTTGAATTGTATTTTATTATATAAAATAAATATAAGACAAGATCACACACATTGTTCAGACTTCAATATGAGTAGCAAGTATGAAATATCTGAGACAACGAAGACCACAACACTCAGTCCCAAAATAATACAGAAAAGTCAATGTTCTACGTTAACCTGACCGGGATTAGAACGGATCGCAATCGGAACTAAACCCGGAACCTCAAAGATGGCGACGTCTTAAAACTGACGAGTGAATCACTGGGCTACAGAGGTCGTCATCCTACGTCATCGTCGTTCATACCTACCTATACTACGCTAGTTTGGGCTCTTAATTTATTTATAGAATTCTTAATATATTTAATCGCTTAGCAACATTTTTCTATAAATTCAAATTATTATTTCTTTCCTTTAAAAAAATAAAAATGCAATATAAGTGTTTTTGAATTTCCGTAAAATTTAGAATTCCGATTCCGAGGGGTTTGCCGAGATGTTGAAAAGGAGTGTGGAAACCTACTCCTCAAAGCCCTGTCTGCCGGAGATCCGTAGTGTTAGTTTTTTTTTTTTGTAAACATAACCGCTATTGGAACGGTAAAAGAGTCGTAAGCGCTTCGAAAAATAAAAATCATTATCAATTTTGAACTTAATTCTTAATAATTTATGGTTTAAAATAAATAGTATTTTGTAAAAGCTGATGTGCTTTCGATTGTACATACAAAAAGCATCTATTAGTATTCACCACACAAAGACTGCAATATTACACATACTGGGATCCAAAGTAGTTTCGCAGTCTGGGTCACTGGCCACTCAATGGCTAACATGAACTTGGTTAAATATACCTCGACTAGATAAAATGTTTATTAGTCACTTACGATTAAAACTCAGTAAATATTTAGAGACTGTTTTTAAAAATTTATATCACGAGCCCGTAGTTTATTATTATTGAGAAATGTAATATTTTTGCTTTCTAGAGTTCCATACCCAAAGGGTAAATCTGGAACTAAGACACCGCACTGGCTACCCGTCTGTCACCACAAAAAAATAAAATAAAACCATACTCAGAAATCCAGTGTATAATATGTCTATTGTTGCTTTATATTAACGTTTTAAATGTTCATGGTTCAACAAATTGTTTTATTAGTTCTCGTAAATTAAGTTTAATCAAGCTGGCAGCATAATTATGGAGATAAAGTAAAAAGGACTTAACAAATTCGATGTGTCTGTTAAGTTTCTGGAATCATATTTATTTAATGTTAATGAGACTAAAGAACTTTAAACCATTTATTGCAGGTATGATAACCTACGATCAAAACTTCGGCTAAGTATACACTTGGCTTGAGTACTACTCCAAGTAGCGTACAAATATATGAGCATCTTGGCTCTACTTTGTATTTTTTGAAGGGCTTTAACGAAATTACACTAACAGTAAATTTAAAAATAGAATAACTATAATAGAAATGTCAAATTATCTTCGTGTTTTAAAGTGAGCCACTGACAATTTTAAAATTAGAACAAATGAAATAGAGCGGCTATTCGTTTTCGAATAAGCTCCCCCCCCCTCTCCCTCTAGTAAATGATACTAAGGACCGGACAGTTCGTGACGAAATCTGGGCCACGAAAGTGAAAGGGCGGTATACAGGACATTATCTACGTACTCGTGGAGTAATCAATGGAACTTTGTCGTTATAATTTGTTACGCTGTCTTTATTCCATTAAGTCGATGTGGGAAGGAATTATTTAATGTACAAAAACGATAAAAACGTAAATTGCTAACGATAATAGTTTGAACATTTTAACATTTACGATTATAACAAAAATTATTAAGTTAGATGGTGACTTTTTGAGCGAATTTGGTTCAATAAATACTATCAACTACATAATTATTGTAAGATTATCTGAACGATTCTAGCGGCGACGACTGATCTGTAACACAAAATGAACCGACGTTTGGGCTGTGCGAGGTCGATCTTAGTGGAGGTTTTTGGAGGAGGCCTTTGTCCAGTAGTTGGCATTAGCCTGCTTACATCAGCTGAATAACGTGTATATACACGTAAGATAAAGATTTTTGTTGTTTTAATTTGTATACCTCTTTACAAACTTATGATGTGTGCGGTCCACTTATTTATTTACAAAACAACAGATTAGCATTTGAATGATAAAGTGTAAACAAATGATAAAAAATAACTAACCTGTTTCCTTGGCACCCTGTATACTACGTCTGTGGCCACAAGTTCGTCTTGTGTTTGTCTCTTGTCCTTGTTCTGTACAGTTTCAGTTTTCTCTTCCTTCTCTTTCACTTCTGCGGCGTATGCGCATAGCGCGACAGCTGTAACAAAACAAAAGAGAATTCAACTTAGACTGTACATCATTATTACCGTCATTTGCCTATTATTGTTGTGATGATGATGTGAATGAATCGAATTGAATCGAGTAGGAAAATGAGACATGGGTAGGTGTTAATAACTACAGATGCAGCCAGTAACAAAACTGTCACAGCATTAGAGTTTCAATTAAATAAAACCTACTTAAAAAGTAAAAAAATAGCATCAAACTTTTATTACCATACTAACATCACACCAGTATATTCAACGTGTATCTAACACTGATTGATGTGTTTAATAATGTAGTAAAAGCGAATCGGTGTTAATGGCATTTCCAGCACTTCAAATTATACTGTGAACGATTCAGTAATGCTATTACTGATAGGGATAATTTAGATGTCTGTATGTTTTCAAATTACAAACATTAGAGTCCCAATTGATTAAGTTTAATGAGGTATGATCATTATAGATAAATATATGAGGTATGTCATTATAGCTACAAACTAGCGAAATTATTAAAGGCTATAAGAAATAGAAAATTTGTGACAGTAAATCAAATTATAATAATGTCCGTATGAGGCCTTATATTACACTTTGTTTTTGGAAGAAGTTGCTTTTTGGGATGCCGAATCAAAATGGAATTAAACGCTAAATACCGAATCGTACATTAAGTTGAATGTAATCTAGAGTTATTTGCTTGAATCCAATGCTGACCAAATTAAAGGTAAATTAGAGACACTTAGGAATACTGATAACGATCGTAAGTAGCCTCTGGATGCGGGCAGCGCAGGACAGATCAGTAGATTATGGGTAGCCATAGTGTTTTGGTTGTTCAATTTTGGAAAAATTCGCAGAATAGTAGCAGTGTGGAAATTACTACGAAACTAAGTTACGGTGTGGATTTCGGTTGCAACATGTGGTTATGGTGTTAACATTGTGACATTGACGTTAACGTTTGCACTAGAAATTGACGTCACATTGTCGAAACTAAGTGAAGTAAATTCAGTATTTGATCAAACGTAATAACGACGGTTCTCGAAATGCTGCTATTTAATCTAAACTAATATTATAAAGAAGAAAGATTTGTTTATTTGTTTGCATCGAATAGGCTCCAAAACTACTGTACCGACTTTAAAATTTTCACCGACTACATTATACGGGGTTAATTTTCTTTCTTTTTATAATTTTCGTTTGGAAAGTCGCACGAAAACAGCTAGTATTAGGTATATAAAAGGAAACATTTGCTTGTTTATATATTTGTATTTAATAGGCTCTGAAATCGATTTTAAAAATTATTTTACGTACGGGTAGCCATACCATACGCCGGGTGACCTATGCTATAATTTATGCAGGCAAAATTTCGAAAAAACTGATAGTGTAATAAATACCTATGTTAAGCCTTTATCATGCGAGTCGCAAAAGTTGATCGCTTTTTTTAAATAACGTTATCGTTTGTTAAAAGTAATCAGACAGAGCAATAGGCGTACACAGCCTTCGAATTCCATCTACAAAGTCAAATTGTACAGTAATTGGACACGAAATAAAACTGTCTTTCGTTTCGTGTTTATTGAAGTGAGAAACTCGAGTTGTACGAGAAATTAGGTGAAGGGGGATTTTTAGCTCTTCTATTTAATTGAAACGGAGAGTATACAAACTGTTATTTGTATTAAAATGTTTTAAAGTTTTATATTGCGACCCAAATTAAAAAAATAAGCTTCAATTAATTTTGACCATGATTAAATGGTCATATTTTGAAAATAAACACCCAAACTATATTAATGTTAACCATAAATGTTACTAGTCGTTTATTTTTTTGAGGTAAAGGGATTAGCCAGTATTTTTTCTGAAACTGGACTTGGCTGAATCTAGATAAGTTTGTACACATTATATGATAGGTTTTTATCATAAAACAACAAACCCAAAATACACTGTAAACAATAAAAATTCAATGAAACAGACGAATTCTAAATTAATCTCATCAACTTACGCAAAAACTTAAATTACCGAAAATATATTTTTGGTTCGATTATTTTATAGTGGGCAAAAGTTCAACAAAAAAAAAGTTATCAAATCGGATTAAGATTGCGACAAAAAAGTGATTCGAATAGAATGCCTGCTTCTTTTTTGAAGTCGATTAAAAATCGCATAAAACATATCTATTTCTATTATTAAATAACGCAGCCATTTACGATCTCTATCTATCCTAAAGTTGTTAAATGTTTACTTGAAAATTTAAACTACCAATTCAGTAAATTTAGTATATACTTATCTAAGTATTAGAAATGGGTAGTCTAACGACATTCTAGTGTCCAGAACATTCGAAACAGTCAATGTTCTCTCTAAATGAAGGCCAAAGGCTTAGTTCGGTATGGTCAGTATATTAGGAAAATCACTAAATTCAATAACGTTGACGAAATCTTCTAAAAACTCAAAGGAAATAAAAAAGGAAATAAAATCCATTCATATTATATTTAAAAAATAAATTTAAAAAGACAAACATCTAATTGGCTGTATAAATAGTATACTCCTTTACCTTCACTTTTGCATAGACACCTATACATGAAATTGAGATGAGTGTTTTCCTTGGAAAATATCAAGTGAATTGCATTTTTTATAAACTTTTAAACTTTCGCGTTGCATTATATTAGATTGTATAAGACGAGTATTAACGCGATAAAATTTCGATAGTAAGGTTTTTCACCTACGTTTCGACCAGGTTACACCGGCCGTGGTCACGAGCTGACTGCTTGTGCCCGTGACTACGGCCTGGTTGAATCGTCAAAAATATAGGTGAAAAAACTAACTATCGAAATTTTATTGCCTTAATACCCGTCTTATACAATCTAATATAATTCCATTTTTTGTTTAACTTTATAATGACTGAAAGATTTTCATCAATGGATAGAAAAAGTCGAACAAACTATGAATGAAAGACACTCCATAAACATCATCCGAGTCTATGCTCCTACGTCGAGTCATTTCGTAGAATGTTTGTGAGGATGTCGAAAAAGCACTGTAACCCGGAAAGAATGCCCATTTTATGGGAGATTTCAACGCCCATGTTGGTGTTCGATCGGAGGAGGAGTTCAGCGTAGATCAATATGGTGTCGATTCTAGAAATGGGCAGGGTCAGATACTGTTCTGGATAATGAATACCTTCTTTAAACAGAAGCCAGAGAAGAAGTGGATATGGCGTAGTCCTGGCGGCAAAACAAAAAGTAAGATTGATTTCATTTGTACAAATAAGAATAATATAGTCTCAAATGTTACTGTTATCAAAAAACTAAAGAGCAGTGATCGTTGCTCACTTCGCAGTACATTAAGATTCAACACAAGATTGGAAACGATGAAGCTCCTAAAGAACTCTATAATAGGACTTGAAATACCCCCTAATCCCAATGAACAATTTGTGATTAGACTGCACATGGCGTTCCAGAGAATCAATTCACAGTTTTTCGAACAAAGCTTGGACATCAGATTAGATTAGAACTAACGAACCACGCCAAGGATATTTTCGTTCGGACAATAAGAGAAAGTGACACACTGTCCCTCGACACAGTTGAATTACTGGGAGAAAGAGACAGTTTTAGATCTAATGAATTCAACTCGTTGGAGCACCGGCAATTTAACATATCAACATCTAAAAGCATTAGAAAGGATATCCGAAACAGAAACAAGAGAAGAATTTTAGTTCTAATCGAAATACATCGAGGTTTACTAACTAAGCTATAAAATAAAAGGGGAGAGTTGGTCTCTACAACTTCCGAGATACTTAAATTCACACGCATAAGCGCATTTTTTACACTGCATCTGGAATCTGAGATCAGTGCGTATGAGGTAAAGCAAGCTCTAAAACAACTAAATCAGCTCAAAGCCAAACGGTATAAAGTCGGAGTTGCTAAAAGGCAGCCAATCGTCCTTTTAAGTCAAATTTATAAGGTGTTCTCCTTACGAAATACCAACCCAGAGAGCAGATGGGCTTCAAAGGTGGATACAAAAATCTTATGAATTCAACAAACCAATCTTCTGAATTCGAGAGAGAGGACTTTACGGTGCCTTTGTGAATTATGAAAAGGCTTTCGATTCGATAGAGCATTGGGCCATATTTGACTCTCTACGGAGATGCAGGATGGATTATAGGTACTTAAATGCTAAATGACCTCAATACGACTTCAGCGGGTGTCGGACTGAAGCTTAATTCAGAAATGACAAAATGAATGGGCGTTATCGTTACACCTGGAGATATAGTCATTGGCAGAGTTGACGAGTATGTTTACCTTGAACATAAAATTAAATTGGGCAGAGAATCGTTGCGTATTGAAATAGATCGATGAGTGCATCTCGGATGGGCAGCCTTTTTATATTTCTTTTTATTTACCAACATCTTATACATTTATACAGTATACAGAAAAAAAATCTTGTAAACTAACTTAGTAAATGCAAAGACAATTATAGGTAAACACTGCAAGCAATTTAACAACTTTATCTATCTATAAAGTAACAGTATATCAACTACATTATACTTATTCCTAATTATGAAAATAATCTTACATATATAAAAATTTTGTGTCACGATGTATGTTGCCAATAAACTCCAAAACTACTGAACCGATTTAAATAAAAATTCACATGAACCCGTATTTTGATCCAACTTACTGGATAGGATAGTTATCATCTCAATTATTCGCTCATGTCGTGAATGTAAACAAATAAAATGTTCGAAATAATTGTTTCTTAAGCAAGTGTTTATTTACTGTTTAGTTCTATGAAGTTCTCATAGATGGCGGTGTACGTTGATTCATAAATAAAATTCTTCAATATCGTTTGATATCTATGTTGCAAATACACCCAATAGATGGTGCTGTGTTCTAGATGGCGTTTATTCTAAAGTAATCTGCGGTAACGTTTCTTTCAAAGAATTTTACGTAGATTAAGTTTTGTGTAAACTTCAGAACTGTTTTTTTTCATCTTTATTTCAAATTGCATTGAATTGGATTGGATTAAT